ATGGAGCAGAACTGCTGGGAAGTTGTTTGAACCTTACCAATGGACTCCTACTTTTCGTGCTATTTTATTACTGGTAAATATCGGACCGAATTCTCGATTATAATAGTTACTGTTCGACTAATTATTAGAAGTTATTCTATACTATTTACAAGTATCAATATTCACCTCAACTGCCCCAATGTGGAATAACATTGTGTGGGAGTTATTACATTGCTAAATACTTGATGAATTATGGCAATAATTACTTCCCGGACATTAAAATTGTTTTTACTATTAGTCTGGAAGCGAAACCTTTTTTTGTCTTATGGTGGACTTCTTCGGGGGATGGAAAGGCACGATTACTGGAAAGAAAAGCCGAGTTTTTTGCGTTTACGTTCTTCCTCTTTCTTTCTTCGACTGCATTTCTTTTTTTAAGATGTCTGCCTTCTGCCTGAATATTCGATTTTTATGAATTTTTCGATAACCTTCCCATTGTCGCTAAAAGAACGTCGAGAAAAGTCGTTCCAACTTGTGAATCATAATTGACGGCCCAATTTTTTATATCATTCCTTTCATTCCTTTTCATCATTTTCTTCAATCGAAAAACTTTGTGTCGTTATTGTCGAAATGTTCGGAATGTGGGCTCGTCTTTACCAGTTGGGGGACCATGCTGCTATTAGTTATGTATCAAATTGCAGAAAACAAGTCCACAATCAGCTAGATTTCGTCGTAAATGTTTGGCTTGTAATCTCGCATCAGACCGCTATCCATGCGAATCGCGGGATTCCAGTTCTGATAGGATCGAAAGAAACGCTCATCATCTAGGACTGGTAAGATTTCGTATCTTGCAATGCCATTTCGAACATCCTTTTCTTGGAAAATAGATAATATATGGTATAAAAGTATTGTAAAATACTCTTTATTACCAAGTAGTATGATTTTTCTATGGGCTTACTTGGATTACACCGGTGTGCGGTAACGGCGAAAACCCATTTGAAGGGCACTGCAATAATCTGGAACTAATTTAAGACTCAGTCAACAAGCAGTTGTAGACTAATAAAGCAGTTACTAAAGAAATAAAGGCTTTTGTAATACGTTCTTAGTAATGGCGACGAGATTAGGTGGTCCTTGGTGTGTTACTCCGCCTTTTGATTACTGTAATTGTATGAATGCAGGCTTTATAGTGTTTTTTCACTCGTTTTACGTCTAGGGGTTCCCAAAACCAATTGTAAATGGTGTCCTGCAGAGCTCTGCATTCCTGATTGTGATCAATAATTTCGGGGACAACGTTCAGAAGTGTTACCTATGTCTACTACGCCTTTTACGGAAATTATATCTTCTCTGGAACTCTGCGGGATTTCTTGACTGAAATTGACTATTGGTTTACAAGTAGTCTTTACTTTCAGTTACGAATTAATAATTTGAGCTAATTTTTCGAATTAGGTTGTCATGGAAATCTCATTTCAAAATGCCATTTGTGGAGCTTCTCAATTACAAGCGGGGAAGATGAAGATGATTGATATGCTTTGCTCATGGGCATTCCCTCCTGAAATCATACCTCTACTTTTATACGAAAAAATAGTTCTCTTGCAATTCCTCACTATCACTTTCGTACGAATTTCTTCTTTGTTCGGCTTACTTAAGGCATCAAGATGATTACTTGTATGCCAACAAAGTTATATGTAGTAGAAATGCAGCGATTCTGTAGAGAATTCTTTGGTTGTTGTCCCTTTTTTTCGAGGCGTCCACGTTTTCAACTGAATCACGTCGATTGGAACTTATGGCTGTGTGCAACCTTGTTACTGAAATCGAAAAATCGAGTTGTCAAGTAGATCGTACTTTCAAGTACCGGACCTCGCCTACCGTCAAATTGAAGTCTCTCGAATTTTGTTCTCCGTGGTACTTGAAACAACCAGTAACGTCTTACTATTAGGTTGACAATGAAGTAACTGCGTGGAAAAGAAGGATAAAAAACATCGGGCGTCCCTTCGAGGGATGCGCCCCGCATTCGACTTCCATTCAGAATCGTAGTGGCGTATTGAAGGCGTGTGTGGCCGATACATTGACTTGCGGTGGCCAGACGATATACAAGTCAGCGTCTTTATCCTCCCAGACGAGTCTGGTATCAATTAACTGGTCCCAGAGCGATGGAAGGCTCGATTGGCTTAGGCGGATATCGATCCGGGATTCGAACCGGTGACGATGCATGTGTGGTAGTGCGCCACTTGCCCCTACACCACCTCCACCCGTAATTGCGTATATCTTCTAGGAATATAGTTCACCTTATTTCACCAAAAAATCATTCACGTATAGGTTGGCCTTAATTTACTCAATTCTGGCCGGTGAATGTAAACTGCTTCAAACGGTAAACTATAGGATTCTACAGAATCCTATGAAGTGAATGTTTAAGATACTTCAAATTACGCACTTACTAAGTTGCCAATTGAGCTCCTTACTAGTTTCCGATTTTCTATATTTTTTCTCACTATCTGAAGATGTGGGGACGTCTGTGAGTTTTCTTCTCAATTGGCCTTTTCAATCCTCTCCACATCTACCTCTCCACTCTTTCTCTTTTTATCCATTACAGAATAATAATATTGTTACCAGTTTTCTTTGGCTAAAAAGGCAAATTGTTACATTGACAAGCCCTAAAGCCATCAGATGATGTAATGTCTACTGTAAAGGACATGAGACATGACTAATGACAACATATTATTAATTGAAAATTAATAAGAGCGATTCTATTCATTAAAGATACATTGTTGTCAGCTTGCGCCCGTCGTCCCAGGCCGAACATTCCTCTTTACACCCCCATGTCCAAAATCCTGTCAACAACTTGTAGTGACATTTTGAAACGGTAGAATTATCGTGGAAGATTTACGACGATTCGGGAGCGTCCCCCCACCCTCTCGTCAACCATTCCTTTCCCCCCAACCAACCCCGCCTCCGCCTACTGGGGGGCTGCCGTAGAACTTGCGATGTTTACAGTGCTCTCGTCGTTGCAACTGTCATAAGACCGAACCCCTTCCTTCCTTCCTTCTACAGGTTACTCGTTTTTGAATTAAATGATTATAATCGACTAATTCAATAACAATTTACCCACCTCTCAACGAGTACTGTTTGAACTTACTGGTTTTTACCAACAGAAGTGTTCGCTTTCCTGAATATTGAACAGTTTAGAAGCCTTTCCCAATTATTGTTTGTTGACTCTGACCATGAGCTAAGCAGTAATGGAGTAGGTAATGCTGGTAGCCATAACTGTTGTTGATTTGCATTGAAAACGTTTAATTACAATGTGAATTACCTAACTTTTTACTGCTGTTGCCTACATCCTTGATAGATTCCTCGAGCTGAACGGTCTTTGAATGATTTATTGACGATTAACTTTCGGGATTGGAATTACCGGTTAGCTCATGTCCGATTCTATTGTTACCTTCAGAGCATTTTGAGGTTTCTCACTCTTAAGCTTTCCCTGCTCACACCGGCTCACGAGGCATGTGAGTAAACCAGCTCCTACTTGACCCCTCTCCTCACCCGAAAGAAGCTACTTTTTAATCCTTTCTAATCACGTCAGATCCTGCTCTCTCAAGGCTACGAACTGTCAAAATACTGTGTACTGTGCAGTAATGCCGTTGTAAGTAACTTTGAGTAAAAAACCCCGAATTACTGAATAAGGACAAAGATCTCCTGTCTCTATATTCTCTAGTGGAATTCGATGCTGTAATCATTCAAAAATCGTATCCATGTCAAATCGAATTGGACTTTCCAGCACAAATGACTGGTTTTCACTTGGATCAGTCCATTTTGTAATGTCCTTTCTCGATAATTCTTTCTCTCAATGCCATCATTCTGTTGCCCTGTTAATGACGTTGGGCTCTCCAATAGCCCTTGTCCTAAGTTGTTTTACTCTTTCTATGATAACAAGTTAATTGTACTGTTACTACAACAACTAAAAGATTCTTACTCGTTGGGGGTATTGCTAAAAATATGTTATTTTAACCATATTTAATGAATTGGTCGATAGAGGTCGCCAGTTTTGCCGTAGCTGTCGAGTTTTTCTCGAAGATGAGATGCTGGGTAACGGTACCGTTGAAGGACCATTAGAACCAAGAGGTTTTTTCCTACTCCTGGCCAGCCACCAGGGTTTCTTTCATTCCGAAATTACTTGATGGGTACTGAACGACCTTGGTCTTTACATCGTTGTGAAAACTCCCAATAGTGAGTCATCATACCTGACTGGCGTGCATTCTAGGGCAACCCAAGATTCCCCACGGGTCTGAAACAAATTCGAATGCATGGCGCACCTCAACGATCTTTATCGACCCGACTTCTTTGCTTTCATTTATTCTACCTGGAAGCAATTCAGGCTAATGGTGCTCACCTTTGATGATTTTTTTCTATAGGAATCATATTTTCCCATTAATTTTTTATTTTGAGATGTATTTCTTTCTTCATTACGTCATAATGCCTTCTCATTCAGCACCAACATATGATTGCTGTGATTTATTATGCGCTATTAATACAATCAACATTTTCTGTACGTTCTATAGACTGATAGCCAGACAAGTGTAATAACAAAAACAGGCTGCTCCAATGATTATGGCTACTTTGTTACTGAGCGTAGACACTATAAATAAAATTGCGCTTTTGCAAAGAATTCAATTTTATGAACGTGGGCTGCTCCCGTGACTGTTTTTTCCCCAGGGAATGAACTTTTTATACTAAAAATAACCCATTCGGTTCGTATGTCTAGTTTATACAATGTGGAAGATTCGTTGGTACAAATTCCAGTTATTGGGTCCGTTACTTGCAAAATTCCTATTAAGGTGAAGTGGTGACAATGTAAACTTGCAGACGTTTTTCATGATTTGCCATTACAATTTCTCTTGCCGATACCGTTCCACCATTTTTTTTTCATATCATCCAGACTTTTCTGTTTCACTTCCATTCCTTTTTCTACCTCTTTTTTCGTTCTGCAAATTTTTGTATGATATGAAATGAGTTCTCTCTAACCAGTACGCCTTTTTCAGATGCCTGTGTTAAACACCTCGGCGTCTCAGTTCTTTACCCTGCCGTTCCGGCGGAAGAAGCAGCGGTGAGTTTTTTTCCGTGAATGTTGGTCTGGGCTTCAAGTTTAGAACTCTAATCATCGCTTTAGACAGTTTTTCATTGCTATTTACTGTTTCACCTTTTGTCGTGTTGTACAGTTGAATTGCTACATTGCACTACAAAACAAGTTCAGGGCTGATAGTGGGTGCAAACAGGATTGAAACCCATCCACCATTGCTATACTCTGGTTGTTGACAACTTCTTAACCGATCTCGTTGAATTTGTCCTTAATTAAGCTTGGAATTTCCTTGTTTTTCGTTTTGCGCTCAAAAAAAGTTAATTGACTTTTTTTCCTTCACTTACATGACCTTTACGTAGTGGAAATCCAACCACGCCCCTTTTTCTGCCTCTCCCAAATGTGTACGAGATTCCAAAGTCTACCAAACTTGTAAAAGGCTGAATGTAGGTTAGCTAGTATTCTTTATATCAAGTTATTTTCAGGTACACCATCAATCCGCCCGATATCTCATACAATGTAGTCTATCTTGGAAACGTCCTTACTGTACTCGCTGCCGGCGATAACTGCTTCGAAAAGCCATTGTCGCTAATATGGAAAGCATACTGTAGTCGGACCGGTGGGGATCTCAGCATGGGCCTAGAGGTTCGTCATGGTTCAAAAATCTTTTGCAATTAATACCTGAACAGGAACCCGACTTGTCTCTATCGTTTAGCCCACACAGGTTTCCCGATAGCTCCTGGAATCTCTTCATTTCCTTGAATTCATTCTAAAGTTCGGCTAGGGGTCAAGAGGCGCCATTATCGAACGAACGCCGCTCGTCGCACGCAACTTACGTAGTACTGCTACAATGGCCTAGTTCCTCCTTTGATGGTCAGGTCGCGATTATGATCCCTGTCCTTTAGGGCGATTCTAGGATGGTGTTTATTAGGATGAAGAGGAAAACAGCCTTCAATCATTAAATAATAACCATCACTACGGTCCCTTCTCTGTTTACTTTTATAGATACTTATTTCGATATTGTCC